CCTTCGGCCTCCCAACTTGCTGGGATTACAGGCAGCCATATTTTCTTTATCTAGTCTACTATTGATGAACATTTAGGTTGATTCCAAGTCTTTGCTATTGTGAATAGTGCTGAAATGAACATATGTGTACATGTAAGACATGCACTTTCCTTTTTTATTTAATTTATTTTATTTTATTTTAAGTTCCAGGACACACGCAGAACCTGCAGGTTTGTTACATAGTCTGCCGTGGTCTTTTGCTGCACCTATTGACCCATCCTCTAAGTTCCCTCCCCTCAATCCCTACTCCCCAACAGGCCCTGGTGTGTGATGTCCCCCCTCCCTATGTCCATGTATTCTCATTGTGCAGCTCCCACTTAGAAGTGAGAACACGTGATGTTTGATTTTCTGTTCCTGTGTTAGTTTGCTGAGGATGATGGCTTCCAGTTTCATCCATGTCCCTGAAATGGACATGAACTCATTCCTTTTCATGGCTGTGTAGTATTCTATGGTGTATATGTACCACATTATTCTAATCCAATCTATCATTGATGGGCATTTGGTTTGGTTTCCTGTCTTTGCTATTGTAAATAGTACTGCAATAAACATACATGTGCATGTGTCTTTATAGTAGAATGATTTATATTCCTTTGGGTATATGCCCAATAATAGGATTGCTGAGTCAAATAGTATTTCTGGTTCTAGATCTTTGAGGAATGGCCACACTGTCCTCCACAATGGTTGAACCAGTTTACATTCCCACCAGCAGTGTAAAAGTGTCCCTATTGCTCCACAGCCTTGCCAGCATCTATTTTTTCTTTTTAATAATTGCCATTTTGACTAGCAAGAGATGATATGTCATTGTGGTTTTGATTTGCATTTCTCTAATGATCAGTGATATCAAGCTTTTTTTCATATGTTTCCTGGCCACGTAAATGTCTTATGAGAAGGGTCTGTTCATATCCTCTGCCCACTTCTTTATGGGCCTGGGTTTTTTTCTTGTACATTTGTTTAAGTTCTTTGTAAACAAACATCTCATCATTCTTGTTTAAACACCTAACAGGCATCCTAACCAGTACAACATGGCAAGACAATGAAATAAAAACCAATAGAAAGACCAGGCATGGTGGGTCATACCTGTAATCCCTGCAATTTGGGAGGCTGACCACTTGAGTTCAGGAATTTGAGACGAGCCTGCTGGTGAGACCTCATCTCTATTAAATACAAATAATTTTAAAAGAAAAAAGATTAAAAGGAAGAAATAAATGTCTTTCTTTGTCACCAGCTTCATTGCATATGTAAAAAACACTAGGGAATTTGGAAAAAAATCTCTGAAATTAATCACTGGATTCACCAAATAGTTCATAAAATATATGTAATGTCACTTAGAGGAACATGAAAAGATAGCAAACAATGCTAGTCATCAAAGAAGTGCAAATTAAAACTACAGTGAGAAGTCACCTCACAACACCTAGAATAGGTAAAATTAAAAAGATACATGATAAGTCTACATACTGGCAAGAATGTGGAAAAAATAGGAAGGTCTGATACTGCTGGTGCAAATGCAAAAAATGTTGCAGCCAATTTGTAAAGCAGTTTGGCAATTTCTTATACAGCTACCCATCCATTACCACATGACCCAGCAATCCCACATATACGTATTTATCCAAAAGAAATAAAAATGTAAGGCCACACTTGTGAGCAGTTATTTATAGTGGCTTCATTAATAACACACCCTAACTGGAGTAATCCCCATGTCTATCAACTGGAGAATAGAGAAACCAATGAGTAAACTGGGATTCCAGCAATACTGGGCAGCTGCTCAGCAACAAAAATGAATGAATGGCATCATCTCAAACACTGTTATGCTAAGGAAGACCAAACAAAGGACTACACATGATTACATGTCCATGAAATTCTAGAAATTTCACTCTTGCAGTCACAGAAAGCAGGGCAGTTGTTGAGTGAAGGGAAGGGGTGAGAGTGGGAGAATGATTAAATAAAAGGGGACATAAAGAAAGTTTTTAGGGAAAAGGAACTGTTCTCTACAGTGCCACAATTTGAGAGTGACTGGGCAACGGGAACTGAGGGGACAGGAAGGTCTGAGGGATGAGAGGGGCAGAGAGAAGGGCTGGAGAAGCAGGAGGTGAGGAAAAGGAGCAGGGGAAAGAATTCTAAAGCAGTGGAAGAGCATAGGAAGGGGCTCTTTGCTTTCAGTATTTAATACATTTTGTGGGACTGTCTAAGAACTAATGGCTTTCCTATGATTTAAAAAAAAAGGGGGGGTTACAAAAATACCAAGTGTCCGAATAAAATATGCACACTTCTTACATGTGTCTAGTTCACAAAAGCAGGCAGTGCTTAAGCGCTGGTGAAGAGCATTAAGGCTGCATGGAGCACTCACAACTTTGAGGGATGACTACAGGCTCCCGGTTCCACACACAGTAACAAACCTGCTTCTTTGTATTCAGGAGATGTTCTGGACTCACACAGGAAAACTGTGATTAGGGAATGAAGATAATTTTAAATGCAACAATCCAGAGTCACAGATCCATAGACTGGGAAAGTAAAACTTAGGAGCTTTGAGAGTTTAATTGTAATCCTGTTTTGACGCAGGTCTTTGACAGATTGGAATTCTAATCATTCAGGGATTACCAATATTGTGCTACCTAAAGTATTAATAAACAAAAAGGAAACTGGTCTCTATGAGAATCTCTATCTGGTGCCTTCAGGCAAAACTTCACCAGGTTTAAAGAGAAAACCCCTGTCTCTATACTTCCATTCCCAGGGCGAGCTCACTCTCTGGCATCAAGTTCCCCGTGGTGAGTTTCCTTGTACAAAAGTCCAAGGGGAGAGGTAAGGAGTGGGAGGCAGGGAGTCCAGCTCAGGGAAGGGGATTCCAGGACTAGAAGTGGTGGGGAAGGGGCTGGGCGCAGCCTAGGGGTCTCTCCCTGGTTTCCACAGATAGATCCTTGACCAGGACTCAGGTAGACAATGTGACAAAGAGGCTTGGTGTAGGAGAAGAGGGATCGGGACAAAGTTCCAGGTCCCAGGTGTGGGTCTCAGAGTCTCAGGCGCCGAGGGGCTTGTTTGCATTAGGGAAGTGCAGCGCTGGGGATTCCCCACTCCCCCGAGTTTCACTTCTCCCCACTTGTGTGGGGTCCTTCCTCCTGGATACTCTAGGCTTATCCCCAGTTCCCGCTCCCATTGGGTGCCGGGTTTCTAGAGAAGCCAATCAGCGTCGCCGACGTCCCAGTTCTGAAGCCCCCGGTCACCTACCTGGACTCAGATTCTCCCCGGACGCGGAGGCTGGGGTCATGGCGCCCCGAATCCTCCTTCTGCTGCTCTCAGGGGCCCTGGCCCTGATCAAGACCTCGGCGAGTGAGTGCGGGGTCCGGAGGGAAACGGCCTCTGAGGGGAGGAGCTAGGGGCCCGCCCTGCGGGGGCGCAGGACCTGGGGAGCTGCCCCGACAGGAGGGTCGGGCGGTTTCAGTCCCTCCTTGTCCCCAGGCTCCCACTCCGTGAACATTTTTCTCACCACCGTGTCCCGGCCCGGCCGCGGGGAGCCCCGCTTCATAACCGTGGGCTACGTGGACGACACGCAGTTCCTGCGGTTCGACAGCGACTCCGCGATTCCTAGAGCTGAGCCGCGGGCGCCGTGGGCGGAGCAGGAGGGGCCGGAGTATTGGGAAGGGCTGACACAGGGACTCAAGGCCTGCGCACAGACTTGTCGAGTGAGGCTGCGGGACGTACGGGGCTCCTACAACCAGAGCGAGGCCGGTGAGTGACCCCGTCCCGGGGCGCAGGTCACGACCCCTCCCCATCCTCCACGGACGGCCCGGGTCCCACTGAGTCTCTGGGCCCAAGATCCACCCCGAGACTGCAGAATCCGCCAGTACCCTGGACCGGAAAGAGCCCCAAAGCGCCTTTACCCAGTTTCCTGTTCAGTTTAGGTCAAAATCCCTGAGGTTTGGTAGGGGCGGGGCTGGGTGTGCGGGGCTGACCGCAAGGGCGGGGCCAGGGTCTCACACCCTCCAGACGTTGTTTGGCTGCGACCTGGGGCCCGATGCGCACCTCCTCCGCGGGTACTGCCGCATAGCCTACGACGGCAAGGATCACATCGCCCTGAACGAGGACCTGCGCTCCTGGACAGCCGCAGACACGGCGGCTCAGGTCACCCAGCGCAAGTTGGAGGCAGAGAAATATGCAGAGCAGTTGAGGGCACAGCTGGAGGGGGACTGCGTGGAGATGCTCAAAAGATTCTTGGAGAACGGGAAGGAGACGCTGGAGGCCGCAGGTACCAGGGGCAGTGGGAAGCCTTCCCCATCTCCTATAGATCTCTCTGGATGGCCTCCCACGAGGAGGGGAGGAAATGGAATCAGCGCTAGAATATCACCTTCCCTTGAATGGAGAATGGCATGAGTTTTCCTGAGTTTCCTCTGAGGCCCCCTCTGCTCTCTAGGACAAGTAAGAGATGACGTTTCTGAGAAAATGGAGGGGAAGATGGTCCCTGGAATACTGATAGGAGTCCCCTTTGACCCCTGCAGCCGCCTTGGGCACCGTGACTTTTTCTCTCAGGCCTTGTTCTCTGCTTCACACTTAATGTGTTTGAAGGTCCGATTCCAACTTTTCTCAGTCCCTCAGCCTCCAGTGAGGTCAGGACCAGAAGTCCCTGTTCTTCCCTCAGAGACTAGAACTTTTCAAAGAATAGATTATCGCGGGTGCCTGTGTCCAGGCTGGTGTCTGGGTTCTGTGCTCCCTTCCCCACCCCAGGTGTCCTCTCCATTCTCAGGATGGTCACATGGGTGCTGCTGAAGTGTCCCATGAGAGATGCAAATTGCATGAATTTTCTCATTCTTCCCATCAGAACCCCCAAAGACACATGTGACCCACCACCCCATCGCTGACCATGAGGCCACCCTGAGGTGCTGGGCCCTGGGCTTCTACCCTGCGGAGATCACACTGACCTGGCAGCGGGATGGAGAGGACCAAACTCAGGACACGGAGCTTGTGGAGACCAGGCCAGCAGGGGATGGAACCTTCCAGAAGTGGGCAGCTGTGGTGGTGCCTTCTGGAGAAGAGCAGAGATACACATGCCATGTGCAGCACAAGGGGCTGCCCGAGCCCCTCACCCTGAGATGGGGTAAGGAGGGGGTTGGATAAGGAGGGGATAATGAGGGGGTCACATCTCTTCTCAGGGAAAGCAGGAGCTCTTCTAGAGCCCTCGGCAGGGTCAGGGCTGAGGCCTGGGGTCAGGGCCCCTCACCTTCCCCTCCTTTCCCAGAGCCATCTTCCCAGCCCACCATCCCCATAGTGGGCATCGTTGCTGTGGCTGTCCTAGGAGCTGTGGTCATCGGAGCTGTGGTCACTGCTGTGATGTGGAGAAGGAAGAGCTCAGGTAGGGAGGGGGTGAGGGGTGGGGTCTGGGTTTTCTTGTCACGCTGGGTATTTCAAGCCCCAGGTAGAAGTGTGTCCTGCCTCATTACTGGGAATCACCATCCACACATGGGCCAACCCACCCTGGGGCCCTCTGTGCCAGCACTTATTCTTTTGTGAAGCAGATATGACAATGAAGGACAGATGTATCTGATGATTGTGGTGTTTGGGACCTGATTCCAGCATTCACAAGTCAGGGGAAGGTCCCTGCTAAGGACAGACCTTAGGAGGGTGGTTAGTCCAGGACCCATACCTGCTTTCCTCATGTTTCCTGATCCTGCCCTGGGTGTGTAATCATGGTTCTAGAAGCTTCTCTTGGGTCCAAGACTAGGAGGTTCCTCTAAAGTCCCATGGCCCTGCCTCCTTCCTGCCCTTCACAGGACATGTTCTTCCCACAGGTGGAAAAGGAGGGAGCTACTCTCAGGCTGCGTGTAAGTGGTGGGGGTGGGAGTGTGGAGGAGCTCACCCACCCCATAATTCCTCCTGTCCCACATCTCCCTCGTGCTCTGACCAGGTCCTGTTTTTCTTCTACCCCAGGCAGTGACAGTGCCCAGGGCTCTGATGTGTCTCTCACAGCTTGTAAAGGTGAGATTCTGGGGGTCCGAAGTGGGTACGGGGTAAGGCAGAGGGGAAAGGACTGGGTAATGATGATTCTTTGATTGGGACGTTTCCAGTGTGTAGTCCGCTGTTCAGAGAGTCATCACTTACCATGACTGACTGAATTTGTTCATGACTATTGTTTTCTGTAGCCTGAGACAGCTGCTTGTGTGGGACTGAGATGCGGGATTTCTTCACGCCTCCCCTGTGTGACTTCAAGAGCCTCTGGCATCTCTTTCCGCAAAGGCATCTGAATGTGCCTGCGTCCCTGTTAGCATAATGTGAGGAGGCGCAGAGACAGCCCACCCCGTGTCCACCATGAACCCTGTCCCCACGCTGTCCTGTGTTCCCTCCTCCACAGTCATCTTTCCTGTTCCAGAGAGGTGGGGCATGGTGTTTCTATCTCTGTCTCAACTTCATGGTGCCCTGAGGTGCAATCGCCTACTTCCCTGTGGAAAACAAAAATCCGAATATAAATGTGTTTTCTCAGCTATTTTCCATGAGAGGTTGATGGGTTAATTAAATAAGTCAATTCCTAAAATTTGGGAGAGGAAATAAAGACCTCAGAACTTTCCAGAATCCATGTTTGCTGTGCTGAGTCTGTTGCAGATGGGGATGGAGAAGGCTGTGAGGAGCCGAGTGTGGATGGGGCCTGTGTCCTGCTGAGTCCGTCATGGGCTTTATGTGGTCAGTTCTCAGCCGGGTCAGCTTCACCGCTCCATTGTCCTTGTCCCTTTAGTGGAAACTTGTCTAGCTGGAGCTGTGACCACAGAAGCTCACACATAGACCAGGGCGGCCCCTGCACACAGGAGTCTCTGTGTTTCTGAGATAAATTTTCAGACCTATTCAGCTCCTGGCCTCCTTCTAGAGCTCCTCTTCTGCTCTGCTCTCCTGCCCTCTCTCCCTGCTCTGGTTCTAGTGATCTTGGTGCTGGCTCCAATCCCAACTCATGAATCTATAAAGCAGAATCTAATTTAGACTTATATTTGTTTGTGAAATTGGACCCATAATCAAGGACTATTCTTTCCTGAAGAGAGAAGCATGATTGTGTGTTGCAGTGTGCAGGGGTGTGTGTGGGTTGGGAGCAGGTATGGGAGGAGGGATGGGGGAGGGAGGACACACTAGCAGCCCTACTGAGAAAAGCACAGGTAGCTTCGATGTCAGTGTGAGGGGACCTTGTGCCATAGCTGCCAAGAAACAGCACTTGGCCCTAGTCTATGTTAATAAAAATATCTCCTTTAGAATAGGAGATGCTCTGCAGTGACCTTTGTTGTCGGCCAGACATAGGACAGAGTGGTTCTGCATATGGGGAACATCATTGAAGTAAAATCAGAAAAATCTCTAACCTTGTGGAGCATGTGTTTCAGTGGGAAGAGAGAGACAACAGATACACTATCACCAGAGCAAGGAAGGAAAGTGCTAGAAGGTGGGAAGTGCTGTGAGACAGGTGATCCAGGGTGTGGGCAGTGGGGGCAGGGAAGGTGGCTGTGGTGCTGGGTGGTCAGTGTGTGCCACGTTGTAAAGGTGACCTTTGAGGAAACAGTTGAAGGACATGAGGAGTTGTCCATGAGGATATCTGGGGAAGTTCTTTCCAGGCAGGGGAACCTCCAGTGCAAATGCAGTAGGGCAGGAAGGTGTCTGTGTTCCCAGGAAGTGAATGAGCCCAAGAGGGCTGGAGAGAGAGAATCTGAGGTGAGGTCAAAGGTACAGCCAGGGCAGGTGTGCCTGGATGGTGTGGGGAAGCATCTGACCCTTGCTCTAAGATGGGGAGGTAGTGGACAGTTTTGAGCAGAAGAGAGATGTGGTACAACTTCTCTTTTGAAAGAATCTCTGACTGCTGTGCTGAGAACAGAATTGAGAGGTGAGGGATGAGGGAGGCAGAAAGGAAAACAGTGGGAAGCGAGTGCAGTATTCCAGGCTGGAGATATTGTTACCTTGACTGGGGTGTGAGCAGGGGAAATAGTGGGACGTGAGGGGATTCCGGATGCATTTTAAGATGGACTCACAGCATTTGCCAATAGAATGTATCTGTGTTTGAATCAAGGACACCCATAGTTGTAAAATGAGTGAGTTGAAGGGAGGGTAGAGCTGCTGTGAAATGGGGAGACTCTGGCAGGAGCATACTGAGGAGGGGGCCTCCCAGTCACTCAGTGGAGGAGATGTCTACTAGGAATGCAGGTGAGGGAGCTGGGGTGGCAGTTGGACAGACAACTCCAGAGTTTAGGGGAAATGAGAAATAGACTGGGCTGGATAAATAGATTTAGGAGGTCACACCATATAAACAATACGTATAACCTCAAGCATGGATGAGGACACCAAGGAAGTGACTGGCTATAGAAGAGAATGAGTGCAAGGACTGAACCCTGGACCTCCAGTTCTAAGGGATCTGATCAGACCACGCCCAGAGCAGACTGCACCGTTCTGACCCCACGCCTAGAGGACACTTAGACAAGGACCTCCCATGTGCACAGGGATCACCTGGATGTGGTTCTCAGATCCAAGAAGTCTAGGGTTGAGCAAGACATTCTGGATTTATGACAAGACTGGATCCTATGTTTCTGGTCTCCGGATCAAGAACACCAGGATCCCACATGTCTGAGCCTGCCTGTAGCGCTTGTTATATAAGTGATGTTTTGGTCTTGTGTATAATACCCTGAGACAGGCGTTCTGGGAAGCAGCCTGAGTATTTTCTAAGCCCCTGTCCTCGCTGTTGGAATCCAGATTGGGAACCACTGAGATCAAAGATCAGAGTGCCCAGGGTGGGTGAATGGGGTGGATTTTCAAACCTTGTATAAAAGAAGATTTTTCTCTCAGAAGTAAAAGGGAGGATGTATATCATCAGTTATGAGATGTGATATTCCCTGTTGATCTCTCCACCATGGCGTAGAGGCCAGGTAGACAATTCAGGATGTGGCTCTCACACAAAGAACACGTCTGAATGCTGCTCTCTGACACTGGGCCACATGCTGATTTCTCACTCACTTCTTGGAGCAAACTATGGAAAACAAATTTCTCTAATGTATACATAAAGTAATAATAACATGGCACTGGGGGCTAATTTTATTGTGGGGAAGGCCACAGAACAAGAATGGAAATTACACAACCAGGAACAAAATCCTCAGCCCACCTGGGATGAGGTCCCTCCTAGGAACAACTGCCCCTGTTGCTGAGCACAGATGCCACTGCTCAGACCTCTGACACCCTGGTGCTGGACACTGGACCCTGAGGCTATGACAGATGTTACTGCTGCACCTGAAAACTGGACATCACCACTGCCACTCAGCCATCTTTACTAAAATGCATTCTGCACAGTCCCAGCCTCTCTGTGTCGCCTCATTCTGGTTTAGAGTCTGGCAGTGATAGAGGAGTTAAGAAGAAATTATTTAGGCAGATAGCGAGGGTATAGAAGCCCTCAGTAAGGTTTTCCTTTTAATGGAAAGCGGCCCCCAAATAATTTTCTTTTCTAACAAAGAGCAGCCTGTAAAATCAAGCTTCAGACATAGACAAGCAAGCTGGAAGCTCTCACGGGTGAATGCAGCAGCTGTGCCAATAGGAAAAGGACACCTGGGACTAGGCATGGTCACCATGGTGGCTCCATCTTCCCTTCTCTTTACCAGCCATGTGTACAGTAAAGAGCAGACAACATGAGACCAGCCAAGTGGAAAGCCCATTTGCATAATAGGATTAGGGTGGGATGAACAGCCTTCCCCATGAACTGTGTAAATGTCACTCCTGGTCCAACCAACCTGTGAGCACTACATAAATCAGACACCATCTCCTCAAGCCTACCTATAAAATCCGATGCACTCCCATTCCAGGCCGGAATTCCCTTTCAGGAGCCCCTCTGTCTCGCAAGAGAGAGAGCTGTTTCCCTTTGTCTCTCTTTTGCATATTAAACCTCTGCTCCTAAACTCACTCCTCGTGTGTCAGTGTCCTTAATCTTCTCGGTGCAGAACAATGAACCCTGAGCATTTACTGGAGAGAAAGATGCTGCTTCAGCAGGTGCTCATCTGACTGGTGCAGCCTAAGACTCATGTCCATGATCAACTGCAGGGGTGACTGGAGTGTTGTGCTCTTCTAGGGAGGGAGGTGGCTTCTGTCTCCCCTCAAAACTTTGCATGTTGTAAGCCAGGCATGGTGGCTCACACCTGTAGTCCCAGTACTTTGGGAGGCCGAGGTGGGTGGATCACCTGAGGTCAGGAGTTTGAGACCAGTCTAGCCAACATAGTGAAACCCCATCTCTACTAATAATACAAAATTAGCCAGGCATGGTGGTGCATACCTGCAATCCCGGCTACTCAGGAGGGTGAGGCAGGAAAATTACTTCAACCTGGAATGTGAGATTGTAGTGAGCTGAGATTGCACCATTGCACTCCAGCCTGGGAGCAAAACTCCACCACACACACACACACAGAACCACACACACACACACACACACACACACACACTTTACATGTTGTAAACCAAAAATAAACTTCAAAGCCACCCCTCCCAACCATCTTAATGGACACCCTCCTCAGCCAGGGCACTCAATAGTTCACCTGGAAGACTGGCTCAGGCCACCATGGGAAGCAGGTGTTGAACAGGCCTCATTATGCCCTCTTCCGTTTTGGAATTCAGGAAAAGCTGACAAGCATTCAAAATCAACACAGACCTTAAGTCTGATCAGAAACATTTCCAGTCTATTCTCTCTGAAGCCTGCCACCTGGAGGCTTCATCTGCATGATTAAATTTTGGTCTCCACAAACTCTTATCATAACCCAGACATTCCTTTCTATTGATAATAGCTGAATCATTTGCCAATCAGAACATTTTAAAATCTACCTGTATCCTAGAAGCCCTACCCCCCACCCCCACTTGCTTCAAATTGTTCCACCTTTCTGGACTGAACCAATGTATATCTTAAATGCATTTGATTGATGTCTCATATCTTCCTAAAATGTATAAAACCACCTGCACCCTAACCAACTTGAACACATGTTCTCAGGGTCTCCTGAGGGCTGTGTCATGGGCTGTGGTCACTCAAATATGGCTCAGAATAAATCTCTTCAAATATGTTACGGAGTTTGACTCCTTTTATTGACAGTGGAATTCTGATGTAGGAAGAGGGTTCAAGTGCTGGGTGTGAGGGGTGGGAAAAGAATGACAAAGTTTGATTCTTAGAGCAGTGATTCAAACTTTATCTGGTACCTGTTAGGCACTCGGAGTGTCTGAATAAAACAGTGACTAATAAATAACATCTTTCCACCCTTCCCTTGAAAGTAAGTTATTACATCAAGTGTTCATCTATCCCAGTTCATACTCTAGACTATTGGAGTGGCATTGCGTGGTGGTGAAATGATTATTCACACATCTTTCCAGGGCATTGTCTCTTACTAGGATTTAAAAACCCAGGTTTGTAAGATTTCAGAGGATCTGGGTGCACATTGATGTTTTATATTAATATCTATATTTTCTTGTGTGTGGAAATATTTCTAGGGAAAGAATCTCTACCGTTTATTAGTTTTTATGTGACCACCTCAGAGGCCTAAAAGAAAATCCTAACTTCTAGGCTAGAGGTAGGACCACTCCACGTGTGGACAATGAACAGCTGCTAGCAACCTGTATTTAGAAGATTAGGGTCATGAAATAAATGTTGATAATTTTTTATCTTTTCCTCTGGGACCAAAAGGTAGATGTTTCCTTGCTTTTTCTGACTGTAAGTTTCTCTCTGTGGGATAGTGATGGGATTTTCCTCCACCCAAACAATTTTCTGAATATTCAAAAGCAGTTGAGAGTCCTAGAATTTGACACAATTCTGACAATAACTACCTGGAGTTCACCTCAGACTCCACAGGTTTAAGGGCTCAGTCCCACGAGACTGTCCTCACTTAAGATGCAAGTCACAAGTCACACCTGGTCCAACCGATCTTTGGGCCCTACACAAATCAGACATCATCTCCTCAAGCCTGCCTATAAAATCTGGGGGCACTCTTATTCTGGGCTGGAATTCTCTTTCAGGCTCCCCTCTCTCTTGCAAGAGAGAGAGCTATTCCTCTTTGTCTCTCTTTTGCCTATTAAACCTCTGCTCCTAAACTCACTCCTTGTGTGTCAGTGTCCTTAATCTTCTTGGTGCAAGATGAGGAACCTCAAGTATTTACACGAGACAATGACGGCTCCTTCAGCAGGTGATCATCTGACTGGTTTTTGAAAATTGACCCAAGAAGAAAAAGAAAATGTGCCAGCCAGAGATAAATTCCAGAAATTGAATTTGTAATTGAAATACTTCCCATAGAGGAAACTCCAGGTCCAGAAGGCTTCACTGATGGATTGTATGGAACATATAATTGAGAAATAGCATCAATTTTACACAGACTCTTTTAGAAATTAAAGCAAGCAACCAACCATTTTCAACTAAATTTATGAGGCCAACATTACGTTTAAAAAAAAAGGAAAGAAAGAAAGAAAGAAAATCCAGACAACAAAATCACAAGAAAAAAGAAACACAAACAACTATGTCTCTAGATCCCAAACCCAAAATTCTATTCAAAAAGTTATTAAATTTAAATAAACATAAAAAGAGCAATATGTCATGCCAGATTGATTTTTTTATGGAGAAGTAAGTTAGGTTTAACACATGCAAATAAAATAACACAACTCAGTCAATTAATATAATAAAAAGCAGGCTGGATGCAGTGGTTCACACTTGTAATCCCAGCACTTCGGGTGGCCTAGCTGGGCAGATGCCTTCACATCAGGAGTTTGGGACCAGCCTGGCCAACATGAAGAAACCCTGTCTCTGTTAAAAATACAAAATTAGCCGGGCGTGGTGATGGGCACCTGTAATTCCAGCTACTCAGTAGGCTGAGGCAGGAGAATCTCTTGAACATAGGAGGTGGATGTTGCAGTGAGCCAAGATTGTGCCACTGGACTCCAGCGTGGGCAACAGCATGAGACTCTTTGTCTCAGAAAAAAAAAAATTTGAGACAGGGTCTCACTCTGTCACCAAAGCTGAGTGCAACGGCATAATCACAGCTAACTGAAGCCTCAACCTCCCAAGTTAAAGCAATCTTTCTCGCTGTCACAACTGCCTGCGCCAGTGCCAGGACAGACACCAGCAACTCCACCCCCACCGTCACCAACACTGCTGGCACAAGCATTGCACAGGAACACTACAGTCCCACTCCTGGCGGTACCCCATACCAGCCAATGTGCCTGCACCTCACTGTGCTACCTCAACTGCTGGCATTTACCTCAAAACTAAAATAAAGGGTTAAAAATGGACACAGGGAGGGCAGCACTACACACTGGGGTCTGTTGGGGGGAAATGGGGGAGAGATGGGGGGTGGGGAGGTGGGGAGTTGAGGAGAGATAGCATGGGGAGAAATGCCAGATATAGGTGAAGGGGAGGAAGGCAGCAAATCACACTGCCATGTGTGTACCTATGCAACAATCTTGCATGTTCTTCACATGTACCCCAAAACCTAAAATGCAATTAAAAAAAGAAAAAATAATAACATTAAAAAATTGTTTTAGAGGTATCAAACGAAGATGGCAAAAGTCAAGTGCAACTAAAACGAAAATGGACAAATAGAACCTAATTAAAGAGCTTCTGCACAGCAAAATAAACTATCAACAGAGTAAACAGTCAGCCTACAGAATGGCAGAAAATATTACAAACTATGTATCCAACAAAGGTCTAATGTCCAGAATCTATGAGGAATTTAAACAAATTACAAACAGAAAACAAACAACCCCATTAAAAATTAGGCAAAGGACATGAGCAGACATTTATCAAAAGAAGCCATATGCAGAGCCAATAAGCATATGTAAACACACTAATCATTAGAGAAATATAAATCCAAACCACAATGAGACACCATCTCACAGCAGTCAGAATGACTATTGTTAAAAAGTCAAAAATTACAGATGCTGGTAAGGTTGAAGGGAAAAGGGAATGCTTATACACTGCTAGTGGGAATGCAAATTAATTAGTTTGGCCATTATGGAAAGCAGTTTGGCGATTTTTCAAAGAACGTAGAGCTACCATTTGACCCAGCAATCCATTTACTGGGTACATTCCCAAAGTAATAAAAATCTTTCTACCTTAAAGACACATGCATGTGTATGTTCATTGCAATATTATTCAGAATAGCAAAGACATGGAATCAACCTAAATGCCCAGCAATGGTAAACTGGATAAGGAAAATGTGGCACATCTACACTGCAGAATACTACACAGACATAAAAAAGGACAACGTCATGTCCTTTGCAGCAATATGGATGGAACTAGAGGCCATTATTTTGTTAACTAACACAGGAACAGAAAACCAAACACCACATGTTCTCTTGTATAAGTGGGAGCTCAACAGTGAGTATATGTGGACTCAAAGATGAGAACACTAGACACTGAGGCCTACTTGAGGGTGGAGGATGGGAAGAGAGTGAGGATTTAAAAACTTCCTATCAAGTACCATGTCTGTAACCTGCTTGGTGAAATAATCTGTATATTGAACCCCCATGACATGCAATTTAAATAGATAACAAGCCTGCACATGTACCAGTGAACCTAAAAGTTAAAAAATAAATTAATAAAAAATAGAATGCAATACTTATCTGTGATGAAAATTATCATTAAATAGGAATAGTAGGCAAGTTCTTCAATTTGATAAATGGCTTATATGTAAAACAACAACTCACATCATATTTGAAGATGAAAATTAATTACTCTCTGCCTAAGAACAGGAAAACAGCAAAGATGTTATGGAGGTCCTGGCCAGAGCATGAAGCCAAGAAAAATAAATGAAAGACTTACAAATGAAAGAGAAGTAAAGTGTCCTAGTTTGCAGGTGATGATATCATTGCCTGGGTTGTCTTACAGGGTTTTTACGGTTTTGGATTTTACATTTAAGTCTTTAATCCATCTTGAGGTGATTTTGGTATATGGTGTAAGAAAGGGGTGCCATTTAAATCTTCTGCATATGGCTAGCCAGGTATACCAGCACCATTTATAAATAGGGAATCCTTTCTGCATTGCTTGTTTTTGTCAGGTTTTTCAAAGATCATAGTTGTAGGTGTGCGGTCTTATTTCTGGGTTCTCTGTTCTGTTCCATTGGTCTACGTGTCTGTTTTTGTACCTGTATCATGGTGTTTTGGTTACCATAGCCTTAAAGTATAGTTGAAATCAGATAGGGTAGGCTGG